TGTTCAGTGTAAAAACTATAAATGATTTTTAATAATAAACTAACATTAATTAACTGTACACAAACAACTTCACTGATCTTATATTCCTGAAATAGATATATATATATATAATTGAGAATTACACATTTATTCTTTACATTGTAATTGCTTTTAATTCAAAATTAATAGTTTCCATCAAGCCACACTAAGTTTAGCTAGACTACTGAATATTAGTCTAAATTCAAATAAAATAATTCATGTTTATCACAAGAGGGCCATGCTAATATTCTCCACTAATAGAGTATGGTCAGATTTTTTTAAGTATAATGTTACTATTCATGGCATATTTAAAAATTATATAGATTTTATCTACAGTTTTCTGAGGAAAAAAACACATAGTTTTGGTATTACATAAACTTCAAATGTTGCAAGTTAACTCCATGATCATAAATTGAAAGATGTCCTTAAGTTTACAGATAAAATGAAAAATACATTCGGCATGCATATGAAATGATTTTGGACAAATGTTGAGTGTTTTCTGTGTTGTCTTTTGAATAGTCAAGTCACCTTATTACATCCTCAGGCAACCTAGATATAGAACATATCACAGAAATTTTACACAATTGTCAAGACCCCCAATATATGTTCAAACATAGTTTTGATATACCTTATAATACTGTAAAACATGTATATAACATTAAAATATTAGTAAACAAGGTAGTGCCAAGTTAAACCAGTACTAGACACAAGAAGCATCTGTCCTTTTAACTCTTCATACTGATGGGCAATTGTGTCACTCTCTAAGCTCACTTTTCAAAATAAAATAAAAATAATTTAAAATATTAGTAAACTAGGTAGTGCCAAGTTAAACCTGTATTAGACACTAGAAATATCTGTCCTTTTAACTCTTTTCATACTGATGGACAATTGTGTCACTATCTAAGCTAAATTTTTTTTAACCTCGACACTCGGCTGGAATTCAGTATTACCGGGTAGTCCAATACCCATCCCTACTAAAAACAAGTCGGGTTCACTAGTCAATCCAGGCCAATCGCCGATTTACATTTTGGTGGTAAAACTCTTGTTTTACAGGAGCGACTTGTGCTGACAACTACACATATAGCAGGTTTGAAATTATTGCAAATGGGTGGCCGACCTTTCATTTCTATATTTTGGAAGCCACCTTTATTAAAACACATAAACCTGTCCTTTGCCATCAAAAAGAATTCCTATACAATCTACACATCCTTCAGTAGGTCTGTGACATTTCTTGATTGGCTAAAGGACATGCAAATCAGTGCTTGCTTTACCAGCTTACGTTGATCTAACTTATTTTATACTATTTCTTATAGATCATTTTCCAGACGACTCTGCTATAATTAGTGACTGGCAAAAAGCTTCAGCAGATATTTCCTTTGAAACATCTCAACCAACAATCAGTCCAGTAATCAATGCTATTTTCAAGTTTTGAACAACTTGACTTTCAAGATCTACATGTGCCGATGTTTCCATTCATCAACGCTATATTTTAAGATCTGTGAAAGAATTCGGCTAACATATGTTTCTGTATATAGAAGCAAAGTTCATACGTTGGAAACTATTATTATCGGAGAGTTTGTGAGGCACCCAAACACACCTTCTTTATGGAGTTTTCCCACATTCCTTACTGTTTGTTTCATTAGACACATGCAATTTCAGGGTCATTTCATGAGTGTGTCGCCCTGGGTTAAACCCAACATGCGTCTTCCGAGCATCAATATCAATTCCAATTCGGCCCTGTTTTTAAGGCTAAAGTCACCTGAATGAAATTTTCTGTACCATTGTTGACGCTTACGAACGTCCAAAACATTTCCATAAACTTCTTCGATATTCTTTGTGGCTACAGAGGCATTGTTTCCTTTCT